AACTAATAATATCGAAATATACAGCGTATCGACAAATCCGTCTCTTATTTTATATATTATTTTTATTATAAATTATATTATTTATTGAAAGAATGTTTTAAATTCTTTTGTCAAACTCGTCTCAATAAAATAAAAATTAACAAAATTTAATTTTGTTAATTTTTATTTTATTGAGACGAGTTTGACAAAAGAATTTAATTTTGTTAATTTTTATTTTATTGAGACGAGTTTGACAAAAGAATTTAAAACATTCTTTCAAATAAATAATATAATTTATAATAAAAATAATATGTAAAATAAAATGTAATATATAAAATAAAATATATAAAAATAATATATAAAATAAAATAAAATGTATTCATTTATTTTGAATTTTTAACCAACTTATTACATAAATATCAATATTGTATACGAGTGAAAGAAACAGAAAATGCACAATCTTGCCCAATATTCTATTTTAAAAATAATTATGAATATAAATAGATAAAATTCAAACGTTAAATAAATCCGTAAATATATATTACATTGCAGTCCTTGTTTCTAAAAGACTAATATATTTCATAAATGAATCCTGCATATAATTTTCTTATTGTTTCTAAAGATATAATATATTCTATAAACATATCTTTTACGTACAATCCTTGTTTTCAAAGGACTCGTTTATTCTATAAACATATCCTGCATGTATTACACGAGTTATTTGCATGGAAGAGCATATATTTTATGTATTTGTATAGTCAATAAAATTACCTTGCAATGATACAATGTGTTTTCTTGCTGCTTTTGAAAGAATAATACATTTTACAAAGTTTATTCTGTAAACAAATTGGAAATAATACTAACAAATTGTAAACAATAATTTCGTAAACAACATATATACTGTTCTTCCTGTTTTAAAAGAAATAATCTATTCTGTGAACGTACGTAAAAATATTTCTACGAATTGCAATCTGATACAATTTGTATTACGTCAATTATTCCAAAAACAATTGTATCCATATAAAAATATAATCACTTGATTAATTCAAAATTATTTTTTACAAATATCCCTATTGTCAATATTTCCTAAATAAATCTTGCATACAGTCTTTGTTATTTATGAACTAACAAAATTTCTATTTTATAAATTTATATTAATATAATTTTATAAATAATTAATATAATTTTATAAATAAATCCTGAATATAGTTCTTGATGCATAAAAGAACAAGTGCAATATCTTATAATACGTTTGAAAATATATTTAAATACTTCATTAACGTTTTGAAGACAAATTAGAGAAACATAGAATCGATAAGAATTAAATTAGATTGCATCACTTAGAAGCGTTTTTGCTGATTTGCAAGCAGAGTTTATTTAAGAGTTCCTTCTCTGTTCCTCCTTAGTCCCTCTCCTTTCTCTCCCCTTCTTCCCTTCCTCTCCCTTCCTCTCTTTCGCTCTCTCCCCTTCTTCTTCCCCTTTCTTTACTTTTCCCCTTATTTCCCCTCCCTTTTTCTCCCTCCCTCTCCTTCTCCCTCTCCTTTCTTTCCCCCATACTCACCATTTTTCTCTCATCCTCTCTCCTTCATCTTCCTTTCTCTTTTTCCATCTTTTTCTAGCTCTCACTCATTCTCTCTTTCTGTCTCTTGTTAATCTGCATGCAGGCTTCGTATACAGAAAATATTATTCCTCTAGAGGCAGTAAAAACTATAGGCAAGATTTCTTTAGAATAGACTTTGCACAATAGATTTGCAATAAAAGAACGTTTTTTTTCAAAAGCAGCAAGAAAAGATTGTATTATTACAAAATAAGTATATTATAAGTATATTATGACTGCGGAAAAAAATAGAAATAATTAAAGTTAATTATTTTTAGAGAGTAATTAATTAATTTTTATAATTACAATATATTTAATTATTTATAATTACAATATATTTAATTATTTTAAGAATAATTAATTCTTATAATTAAAATATATTTTTAAAATATATTTTTCGATGAAAAATAACTCCCATGCAATAGAAATCGATATCTCTCAGCAGCGTTCTAACTGATCTGTATGCAAAGTTTATTTATGAAATGAATTATTCCGTTGATATAAGATTGACTGTAAACAAGATTTATTTTCAAAATAGATCGTTCTTTTATAAACAGAGAGAATACGGGAAGATACATTTACGGAAGAGGGGAATTGATTTTTTAAAAATAGTAAAAAAAAACTCTCTGGGAGAAATATCGATGATTTATTGATAATAAATAACTACTATCGTAAGCAATTATTTGATAATTTTATTGCAACAACGCTAATCTGTGGGTGCATTGTTGATGTTATCGTAAGTCCTTTCTCTCGACGGTGTACATAATAATAACATGTGGACGAAACAATATCGCTACGGAATTTCATGGTTTGTTAGTGAAGTGGGGATAACCTCGCTATTACGTTCACAGCATCGTGTGCTGTTAAAAGGTTTCTAGTGTATTAAGAAATCGGTCGACCCAGCTGTTACTGACATGAGATTCGATAATCTAAAGTATTCTCAGCTGGGCAGCTCGCATATACGATTTTGCAGTTGGTACGAGATATTTTACCACGTCTCTTGATATATATGATTTATTCATATATTTTATACGGAATTTATATATGGCATTTTTATTTTTGACATATGATTTATTTATATATTTTATATGGAATTATATCTATATCTTATATTTTCTTTTTTTAAATGTATTATTCCTCTTGTCTCTTATTCCGTTTATAAAAATATAAAATAAACTTATATAAAATATAGGATTTTATATCTTATTTCAGAACATATACGTATCTCTCGTGATCTTTTATTTTAATGTTTTTGAGAAATATATATATATATATATATATATATATATATATATATATATAGAAGACGCAATTTATGTAAAAGGATATGTAAAAAGGATTTATTAGTCACTCACGTGCACACGTCGTTCGCGTGCGAATACATTTTCCATTGTTACGGCACAACATATGCTTTCTGAACGTGCGTCAATGCATTATTCACTGTATTCTTCGGTATAATTTTGCATTTTATGGCACAAATCTTTTTCCATTTTCTTTTATTGTCCCCATAAATGTTATTTTTAGTGAATTTAAGATTGTATTGTAACAATTTATTACATGCTTATTAGATTCCATATTGACGATCATTTTTTTAATTGACGATTAAGCGAACTAAAAGTCAATTTTAATTATTTTTAGCGAATTATTTTTAGTGAATTTAAGATTAGATTGCATTGTAACAATTTATTACATGCTTATTAGATTCAATATTGACGATCATTTTTTAATTGTCGATTAAGCGAACTAAAAGTCAATTTTAATTATTATTAATCGATTACTTAACTAAGAGATGAAAAGTGATTTGCGAGAGACAAAAGATTGGAAATGTGTCGCACGAAATAATAGTGAATTTAACGAATTTTCCAATGGCAGGCAAATCATTGGCAACTAGAGCCCCGATTGCTATTTCTTTTATTCTTATAAATTAATAATAGATATATAAGAGAGGAAGAGCCTCTCTACACACATATCTACACACACACACACACAGTAAAAAAATACCGATAAATCAATAATGTATATATTGTTAAGCTACATTATTCTATATAAGAACAAAGACTGTTAATTATTTCAAAGAGCGCATTATATTTAATATATTAATAGAGTTGAAGCATTACCTTGAAGCTTATCACGTAACTTGCACTTTCACATTTATTATTGCACGTATAAGTGATGTATAAAAAAGCCAGAATCTAAAATATTTAGATTAATAAATATTGTATTCTCTCTCTCTCTCTCTCTCTTTCTCTCTCTCTCTCTCTCTCAATATATATATATATATATATATATATATATATATATATTCCGTTGTTATGTAACATAATATGAAGCTCATAACAGCGAGACATGTTTTAAGCACGTAACTTTCTCTCGATTCAATAACTCGTATTCTCTTGCGCCATACTTAATATGCAATGCAAATGATAATCGATGATTCAGATATTTTGATTGGATTACATTATTTTATTTAAGAACATAAGAGAAAAACAAGCGATAAATAAAATTAAAATATAAATGACGTAACTGATGAGAATTATTGCATGTCGATTTTCTTTCGATATACTGCCATTTAGGGGTATTTTTTAAAAGACCATGCATATGCGACATACGCACACACACACACACACACGTTAAATTCCTCGAGTGGAACGGAGATAACTATGTCCATTGCATTGTTCTCGTTCCGTGGCTGCTGTATTCGGTGAAACGCGGTAACGCCTTCCTAACATCTGGCCGTTACTATGAAATGTCAAACATTACCCATCGGCATAACTCACTTGCAACTATCTTGATTACGAATATATGCTTTTCTGAAATTCCATCGCGCATTCTGGTCATTAATGTCCCATCGTGCTGATGCTCGGTTGTTGCATCGACACATGATAATTCAATGGAGTAAATATTGAAGAAATGTATGTATGTTTACACGCATTTATATGTGCTTAACATACATTAACGTTATATATTTTTTTAACATTTCTGATATGTAACTCCCTCGTACATGTATATATTTATTATATTATTTCTGTTTCTTATATAAAGTTTATGATGCAATTTATTACATAAACACATTTTTTTCAGTATACTGGAATTATGTAATTTTATTAATTATCCATCAATTATTTTTAATTTTATTTTAATGGCATATGCGTAGAGAGTAAAAATATAAAAATATTGCACTATCTTCTTTTATTTATTTTTCTATTTTATATGTCACATGATTATATAGTAAATATAAAAAATTAATTACATATCAACATTGATTATTGAAAGAAAATTAAAGATTATTAAAGAAAATAATGCTAAAAATATAATAATTTTATTGATAATAAGAATGTGTATACATAAAAATTTAATTGTACTTAGCAGCTATTATTGATTATTGTCGCAGTCACTAAATAATTTCAATTTCTTTCTGTTACAGAGAAACGACAATCTCGACTTGTCTTTAAACGTTCCGCAACATCATCAGACATCGTATCATCACGACAGCTACAATATGTCTGATCAAGTGAGTTAATTGTTTGTCTGTTAATAGATAAAATATTATATATATAATAGATAAAATATTAATTTTATTTATATTAAAATAATTAAATGATTATTTTTATTTTTATATATATAATACAACTAACTCCAAACTGTGCGTGTATTTTCGACTCGCAATGATTCATGATTCGTAGAAATTCACAAAAATACGTCGTTTATTATTGTGGATCCTATTCGCGGTAATCATTCGTGATTCGTGATTTGTTATCATAATGAACATAGTTTGTTGTGACTTTTCAATAAACACTTGCGAAATGTTTCTAATTTCGATAAATTATAAGGGACAATGTCTTTATTTTAATTTCTTACTTCTCAGTATAAGCTATACAAACAATTACGAATTTTAACATAGAGCTTAATATAGAGCTATACCCATATCTATATGAATGATCACAGTGATTCGCAGCCTTTGAGTTCGTTGAAAAGCCGCTCACGTGATGAATCAACGTGAATGACGAATCACGAATGCGAATTTGGCGAATTTTTTTTTCTACGCTGTTCGCGAACTACATGAATCGCGAATCACGCATCGCGAATTGTATACACATATAATTTTTAGCGCCAGCTTAATTTTTTATTATCAATTATATACCAGTTGCATTGATTATTCAAAGAAATCATTTATATAATACATAAAAATTATAAGCAATTCGTACGAAGCTTTAATTGCAATATATAAGTGAAAATGAAAATTGAAATAAGTCTGTCTTATTAAATCAGTGGTCGATTTAAGGAAAATAATAATGAGCAGTAGGAAAGAAAGAATGTAAAATTAAGAAATGTGTAAATCACTGACCAAAAATGTGTACACCATCTAATAATGCTCGATTATTGTATTCTTTTTTATATCTCTCTCTTTGATGTAACTTTGTAATGCAAAAAAATGTCTGCAAGAAATGGCGAATTGCTCTAAAAAAGAGAGAGAATATTTTAAGAAATTTCTCTCTCTAGTTCACTAATTTCGAATAATGTCACAAAAATATTCAATTACGGGGAATAAACTATTGCTATGAAATTTGACGTTAATATTCATCAAAACGTCCAAGCAATGTCCAATAAAGTCCACTTTTTAAAATTAAAAGTAATTAAAAAATAATATCCAAAAATAAAATGAAAACAATGCCTAGTGGTGTTTCGAGTGTATGTCCCAATGCTTTCACCAATTTACCCCTCACATAGAACAGATATTGGCTAACAATTACGAAATATCGAATTTAAATGGAACGAATATTGACAACCAATTGCGAAGTATCAAATTTAATAGCCAAGTTAATCATTTTAATTTCATTAAAATAAAAATAATTCGGTATTATTTCCATCGATATTTTTCAAAATTAATTTCTTCATCATTAAGAGATTCTTTATTGAAAGCTTCTTTTTTTTGCTATTGAATTTGCCTTTTGTTTAAGTACGTCTAATTTAAACATGGAATGTCGTTAAACGATCATTTAAGAGATCCGGACAAAGTATTTCAGTTTTATTATCGGTCTATACATTTTCTGATTTCTCTTCTCATTTAAACTATTCCGACCGAAGAACTAGATTAGCATTGCAATTTAATTTAATGGCCAGTTACGCTTATCTGATGCAAAATAATCTGTTTTCATAGCGCATTTTTTACGGTAACAAATTTAGAATAAATTAGATCTGCAGATATTGATAGAAAGAATATACAGTACTGATAAAAAATATTGCATCACTTATAGAAATAGGAAAGTTATATTTTAATGAATAAAAACATACATAAATATTATTAAATTACATTTTATTATTTTACACTTTAATGAATTTCAAAAGTAAAAGTTATAACGCATAAACAAAAATATATATTAAAATAACATATAAATAATATATATTAAAATTTTGATTCTTTAATATTGTCTCTTTTGCTTTCAATATTGCATATTCTTGGCATTCTTAACAATAGTTTTTTTTTTCAAGTTGTTACTGATTTTTATTTGTCATAACTAATTTTACGATATTGAAGCATAAAATAACAGTAATAAAATATAAGTTAGTCATATTTATATATATTTTTAAAGTAACGATTTCTTTGTTTCCATAAATGATGCAATACTTTTGACTGATACTGTATCTGGTACTGTATAAAAAAATATATATGAGAATAGGATATAGATGGAGAGTTAGTGAATGCAGTCATGTTCCGAGCGAATGTAGAAACGCATTCAATCAGTCGCCTGTCGTCCAATCCAATCTAAGCGTCCGGTAATTGCCAATCTGCGATAAATAATCATCAAATTGTAATTTTGTTGTTTAGCGTTGTTTAATAAACTGCGTTTCAATTTTACGATATTAGACGTAGTAGATTGGTTGATAAGAAATTATATTCTAATATTGCCGTAGAATAATTAATAACGAGAGAATTCATTATCAAATTGCATGCATTATAATTACTTAATGTTGCATTTATGAAAATGCACACACGCACCCACGTATAAAATTATTACAGCAAACTATATCGTGCATACACAAGTAAAAAAAATATGCAAATGTAATAGATCATATCTCATCTGATATTATATTTTTTAAAGGAAAATATACACACATATACATGCATACACGTTCCAAGAAAATTCCACTTATATTACATGTTATTTTTCTTGTCGTATTATTATGGAAATTACGTAGAACAATGATACTTATCGATCTAATAAGTATGTTAATATCTGTGATCTGTACAACAAATTGATTGGTATTATATAAATAATGTTAATTTGTACACATTTTTAAATATGTCTATAGACTTTTTTCATTTTTGCTCGTTCAATTGTATGTTTCATTATATTCATTAATTGCAAATAACATCTGTCATACATAGAAGTAAAAAATATGTGGATATAATCAAGACATTTGCTTTTTTTTTCTCGACAGTTGATTGATTGCTGTACTATTAATTTCCAAGACAATCATATAACCAAGCATAATCTTACGCTTTCAATAACAATGATTGCGGCTATTCTAATAGCTATTCGTTTTTAAACTTACTTTTTCGATTGTTACAAGAGTTTTAATGTTTCGTTTTTGTCCAATATTACTTTTACTTGAAAACATTGTACGGAAAAATTTATCGCACACAATCTGTATTGAAATAATATGCAATTTATATTGAAGAGGAGGGGGAGCGTGAGTTGCATAACCAGGAAACCATCTAAATAATATTTCTTCAGGAAGAAGAACCAAGTTGTGAGAGTCGCGCACAAGTTTTAACGAGATGGCGGAACGAGTTTAGTTCACAGCGAGGAAAAGAAAAACGACGATGACAACGACAACGACGACGACGACGACGAAAAGAAGGATGATATTTCTTCGTGCTCCACGCTTCACCAATAGTCCCAAACTATCACTGTCCTTCTTTATTTCTTTTCTCCCTCTAATTCTGCATTTGTTTGTGATTTTATATGCCTTACGAACTTAATATCGTTATATTGAAAGTGGAAGCAAAGCATTAAATGTCCCATGACATTAGACACAATGAAGTGTCGTTAAACATTTAATTAATAACAAGTTTTGTTGAAAATACATGTGTGTATGTGTGTGTGTGTGTGTGTGCGCCCGATTTTCGCGATTTTGGTGTAATGATTAGGGCACTGCATACGAATTAGATCATAATGTCCACTATGAGTATCACGAGTAATAGTGTCACGCGTACGTAAACATAAAATGAATTTCGCAATAAACGATCCATGGAATAGGTTGTAATAAAACAGTTAATGGCATGTATAAATCTGATTTATGCAACGGCTGCCTCGTTCTATTGCATCACACGATCACGTGAATTATATGAGATGCAGTTATTCAAATTCTCAATCAATACTATTGAATCGTCACTTAAATACAATACTTTGATAATATGTGGATATTTAATAAAATAAATGGGCGCAGATGTGGGAAATAAAGGAAAAGGGAATAAGATGATCAAATAAGTAAGATACTAAATTGCTAATTTTTTTTTTAGAAAAGAATCAAACTTATTAGAGGCTCTTGATAAAATGGCTCTTTAATAAATGATTTCTGGTAAAATTTTTTTTAGTTTGATTTCAATCTGTCAATGAAAATAGATAATATAATAAAAAATGTGTTTTGAATGTATCCGTATGTAATTTTTTGGTATTTTTTATAACGAATTATATAATCATAATAAATACTTGCACCGTTTTTATGAAATTATTATATAATACGGATGAAAAACGCATATAATATTTTTCACTTTTCTTATATAACATTTTTGAGATAAATATGATGATTATAGTGAATATTTGATTTTATTTAAATTGGTTTTAAATGCTCCTAAATAATTAACAATTATTTTTGTTTTAATAATGTTTTAGTAATTTTTGTTTTAATAATGTTTTAGTAATTTTTGTTTTAATAATGTTTTAGTAATTTTTGTTCTTTCAATATTTCTTTTTCTATTTTTTCATTTGTATGTTGAAATATTATAATATCAATATAATTTATTTATCAATTTTCCAATTTCAGAGATGATAAATAAGACTTTAATGATTCTGAAAAAAATAGATCATTATTTTTACATTAACGTAGAAATAAGGAAAGTAAGGAAAAATCAATAAATCTTAAGGTTGTCATCTTACTCCCATTTCTTCTACCTACATTATAGCTATATTGACAATTGAGAGACAGGCATATTTCTTCAAAGGAAAATATTCTTCCTGATACTATTAAATTCAATTTTGAAACTTTTATTCCCTCTACCATCACGCGTATATTATGATAAATTAATTTTTCTTCTCCTTTGTGAAGGAGAATAAATTACTAAAAGGATTCTGAACGATATAATGCTATTTATCATCTTCCCCCCGTTATAGGACAGTCAAAGTTGATTCTTTGATTCAATTTTTTTTATTATACATCGATTTCTCTTTTTTGTCGGAAAGAAAAGAAAGGTCTTTTCCTAAAACTCTTTATTTTTATCTTTCTTTCAATCGTTCTACATATAATGTTAAAAAGGGGAAAAACTAAAAGAAAGATTATTTTATTAACAATATCTAAGGAGAGAAAATCTATGGAGTTTAACAAGCAAATTCAATATATACGTAATTTATTTGTTTCAGACGTTTCATACACCGAGTTTCGGTGACGAGGACTTTGATATACCAACCATTCATCCTCATTCACATCAGCAGCAACAACAACAACAACATCAACAACACGATTCCATGCAAGCATATGGCCAGCCACAGGTATATTTCGATGATTCTATAAGTATAGAAAAAAATCATTTCAAAATTCAATACAAACTTGCAAACTCAATACATTCTTGTACGCGTGTACTTATTCATCAAATTAGCATACACGAACGAATTTTTTACGCGAATAGCAGACGTTACTTGCGAAATATTTGTTCGCGTACAGTCCATAAAGGTCAGTAAAAAAGATTTTTTCAAATCAAACAATTTTAAATTTTATTGGAAATGACAACTGAGATGTTATCTACGAACTGTCTATAGTATATGCAGTTGTACACTAGCCTTAACAACATATAATAATATGTACGTGTATGTGCACACGCCATTGCGCGCTGGGTATGGAAAAAAAATGTTGAAATGATGTATCGGCCATTTAACAACTTCCGCGTTCGGGCATTATTCATGTAACGTTCAAGACATTATTTTTAGATGTACACTCATAGCCTTTTCTCTCTCTCCCTTTAATTTCAAGATGAAGAGATACAGAAGTATTCAAGCATATACAGCAGAAATTCTATAGTTTTTAATCAGAGAGAAAAATTTCAAGGAAATTAATTCTCTGATTAATTCTTCTGATTCTTTCAATGATTCTTAATGATTTTTAATTATGATATTTATATTAATGTTATCAAAGGAAATTTTGTATACTTTGATTAGTCGTATAATTATTGTTAATATATATTTAATTATATAATATAATAATTATATAATTATATAAATTATATATTATAATAATTTTATAATATATATTTAAAAAATTAAAGATCCAATAATAATTATTGAGTCGATCAATAAAGTTTTCTTTCTAAATCATACAGTTTTTAATACTGTATGTATTAACGTTTTATGTATGTTAAATTATTATAGATGATGCAAGGTAGTGGTATGCAACAATCACCAGATAATCTGAATCTGGATACTAGTGGATATCAGCAACAACTCTATTTACAGCAAGAACATTCGATGCAATCAATTAATGTCAGGTAAATATGATTTAAAAATCTAAACTCTCCGAGTTACCATTTATGTTAACATATAGACCTCGATTGTGCGCAATCAGATATGTAAGAGAAAGGCAAATATGAGCCAGACAGCGCAATAGATGAAATATAATAAATTTATTTCGAGAAGATAGAGGGTTTATTTAATCACATAAATAAAACGCGAGAAAAAATAATTATATATGTTTCATTTTTGGAATCATTTGTGCAATAATACATAAAGAATCAAGAAATGTCATTAGTTAACTGAAATTGTGAAGTAATGTTAATTCAATAGTCAACAGTCACACATTAGATGTTGTCAATAAAGAAATATTAACAAAAGTCTCTCATGCTTTTCGAGAAAACATTCATAATCTATAAGTTTCTATTCAGCAGAAGAATATTCAAACGAATATGCAAACGAATATTAATAACAACAGAAAGACACGAGAGATTACATCGTTTTTAAATATAAAAAGAATAGAATAATGATTTAAAAATTTTATAAAATTATTACAATTAAAAAAAAAAGAAAAATTATATGCAATGTCTTAATTTGGAAAATTTGACGAAAATTTCCACGAATAAAAAATTGTTAAATTAGCGATTTATTTTCTTGTGTGTGACATAAGACAAACATCACGCTTTATCACGACATGTTTGCATAAGTCAAAATTATAGAAATTTTCCTCATCGTTATTTCGTAGCAATTTCAGCAAAGTCAATTTTGATCGTCGTACTTATAATACATCATATATTATGCACGCACAATAAGAAATATTTATCTTGATCATCTTACAGTGTAATAATATGTAAAACAGGCAAAAGGAGTCCCTCGCGTTATCACGTATCACGCGACGTAGGCGTGGCGCATAGCTACAACACGAAGTTTAAAATTCATCTTTCAAAAATGCAATTTCTAGAAGCAATATTATCATACATGAATAAATTTATCGATAAACATTCTTTGTTTTTTGTCTAATACAAATTTTAAAATTTAAAATAATGAAATAAAATAAAAATAATGAAGAACGTGAAAATAATAACGAAGGATATTGAAAAATATGATATTTATAATATGATATTTATAATTTATAATTAAAATATATATTTCTGAGAAATCTAAATATATAGTTATGAATAATATAAAAAGCTATAAAATAAAAGCTGTTTAAAATATTTAAATTGATATTTTATTAATATTTTTATTGAAATATTATTAAATATTATTAATTGTTAAAATATTTTTTCATATATCGTATGATTTTCATGACATCTCATCAAAATATTAATATATTAAAAATTAATATGTTACAAATATGAGTTTATTTCGAAGTATTATTTCAATCTCTAAACGAGAACATGTTTAAAAATACACAACAGGCTATGATTTATCGTGTATTAAGATTACATTTATCGTTATGAATAACATTTATAAGAATCTATTATTACATAGTCTTACGACTCCAATTTAGATCATCGAGATCATCTTTTTTTAGCGAACTGACGTATTCTAAACTGGAAGATGATAGTAGATCTTTAGATTGTAGATTTTAAAAATTTCATTTTATTTATTTAAATTTTATTTTATTTATTTAAATTTTCATTTTATTTAGAGATATCTTTTTCGCAGTATCAAATAAGCATTCTATGCTTGTTGAATCATATATTACATATATATACTACATTTTATATACTGTAATCAATCTGATTAGAGAGAGGAAAAATACATTGAACAAAAATATTCGATTTATACGTGCGCTATCGTCAATGCCATGAATCAAAGCAAATATATTACCAAGAGTTATCTACGTGCAATTATCTTATGCATAACATGACGCATAGACTAATAATCAAGCTCTTATATGGTATATTGTATTATATAACGAGACGCATAAACAGACTTTATAAACGAATGAATAGATAGTATCAACAAATAATATGGATGAAATATCATACAAATAACTTTGATGAGAATATTATGTATGCAATGATAATTACGTGTGTGTGTGTCTATAAATTAACAATAAAAACATAATTAATAAATTCTATAAAATATTAAAAAGATATTTTATTACGAAATAAGGCAATAACAAATAAAGAAAACATTGAAAGTCTATCTTTCAACGAGCTTTTTTTTACCGATAAAAATTAGAAGAAGATATAATTCGATTAGAAGAAAATATAATTCGATGATGTTTAACTGATAGGAGAGATAGTGAAAATATTAGGCATCAAATATAAGAAAGAATATAGAAGGGAAATAATATGGAATAGATCGTAAATATTCCGTGGCTGTCATAGTCTGACTATATCTCAAAAGTTATTCAATTTGCTTTAAAATAGCGAAAATATATTCCAGCCATATACGTATCTATCTTCTTTTGCCAACGTCGCCTTTCAAACTTTGTTCTCGAATTTACGTCGCGATTTGCCGTTGTATATTCGCAAACTCAACTAACGGTCTTAAACTTTTAATTAAAATCTTAACTCTCTACATGAAGGAGTAGTCTCATTTTCTTTCTACCCGAGAATTATATTCAATGCTTATGATAGCACTTGCGGTTTATGATTATATTATAATAATCTCGAGAGATGCAACAATAACGAATAAACATTTGATATATCATGAGAATCAACAATAAACATATAATATATAATGAGAATCAACAATACTCGCATTAACAAATACTCTAATCTAAATTCTAAATTACAGATTTAATTTCTTATGTCACAATCATCTTTCTTTATAGAAGAAATATTTTTAAAATAAATATTTTTAAAAGAAATAGTTTTAAAAGAAATTTTTTAAATTTTCCTTTTGTTTACAGCTCGGCATATGGCAACTCGCAAGATTCATATGCAACAATGAACTCTTCGCGTCAACAACAACACAATGGCCAACAATTGTTAATGCTGCAGCAGCAGCAACAACAGCAGCAGCAACAGCAGCAACAGCAGCAGCAGCAGCAGCAGCAGCAGCAGCAGCAGCAGCAGCAGCAAGTTCAGATGCAACATATGCAATATATGCATTCCCAGCAGCAATTGCAGCAGCAGCAACAGCAACAACAACAACAACAACAACAAATGCAATATAGAAGTCCGACTGGAGGCAGCCCGACTGCTATGCAAGTGAATAATATTACAGAGACGAATAATAATACTACAACCAGTGAAGATAGCGATGACAGCACTCCGCATTCCGGAATGGTAAGTCGAATCACGTATGATATTTACATAGTTATTACTCGCGTAATTTGTCAAATGGGTTTTTTAAAAGCTAATACTACTTGCTATGTACATAAAATTTTTTTTTATAACGATCTAGTTTATTGGATGCTATATATAACGAACATTTTTTTATATTATCTTTTACGAAAAAGCTGCACCAGTTAATAAATAATGAATATATAATAACATTTCCAAAGTTTTTGATATTTTATTAAAAGAGAAACGATCTCTGGAATTTAAAAAAATTTTTTTTTCCAGATTACGGTGATCAAACGTGAACCACCATCACCAGAAGCGGCTGATGCTGGAGCGAAAAATCAAAGAAAAACAAAAGCACAAAAGAAAAAAAAGAAAAGAGATCCTAATGAACCACAAAAGTAAGTAACAATATTATTTTTATACAATAATCAAAAATTAGCTGAACATATAATTTGAAAAATCTTATTTCAAAGACATGCGACACTATGAGAAACTTGTAAAAATACCATTATATACACAATTTATAATTTAACATATTTTTTTTGCCTTATCTTTAATAATGTATCATTGTATTATTTTATTTTATAACATATTATAATTTTATTATACTAAATCAAATAATGGAATAACTGGGAAGCTTGCGTATATGTATGTACGATTTTTCTCGTTACTGCTGCGTATAACTTGACGCAAAACACTATGTCTCAATATATACTACGTGTGTATATGTGCACACAAGCCTATAAATTTCAATATGGTGCCACCTCTCAACTAGAATCTTAGATAAATAGAGAAGCGGGTACGGCATCGTAATTTTTGATTGGTTGTTCTTTTACCTGATTGAGGCAGCTATATTGAATTCATATCGGAGTAGCTACATGCTGCTATTCAACATTTTCAGTTGGCATTTAATGCTTATCATCACTTTTAATTGTCAGCATTCAATCACTACATTTAATAAAAAAATATAAAGACTGCAGCAGACATACTAATATTTTAACTGTTATTATGTCACTCATTTCTAGATGACATATATTCTGTAAGAGTTTTATTTGTAGATGACTTTTTATCCCATTAGGAATGCCGTTACTAAATATTTATAAAAACATTAAAAGAAAAATAATAAAAAATTAATGTATTATTAAAATAACAGGTCTGAAAATTAGAGATTTATTAAAAGTATAATTAAGTAATTACATATGTATATTAAAATGAAATGACAAAACTATTTTTGAAATATTATTAAAATATTTTGTTAAAAAATTATAACGACAGGACGTGATTTTACTATATTTTAATATTTGGAATGTTTTCTTTTCTGCATTATTATAATTATAATGTATGTATCTTTTTTTAATGAGAATATAATATTACGCGCGCGAATGTGTATTATTATAAATGAAAATATAATATTAAAAATTATATGAATAAAAATTATAAATATAATTGGTGTTTTAGATCTTATATGTTGACGTTTATGATTTTCAGACCAGTATCGGCGTATGCCCTTTTCTTCAGAGATACTCAGGCAGTGATTAAAGGGAAACATCCAAATGCCAGCTTTGGTGAAGTATCTAAGATCGTTGCATCAATGTGGGATGCATTGGAACTTGAACATAAAAATGTAAATATTATAATTTCAATGGTCATATTTTTATATACTATAATTATATCAAGTAACGATAATTATATCAAGTATTATTCTGTAATTATAATGAATGCTATTAATATTATTATGAATTTAACGATTTTTAATGCTATAATTACTGAGAACAATATAAATCTTTATATAGTATTACAAAAAGAAAACCGAAGCAGCTAAGAAAGAATATCTGAAAGCTCTCGCGGCATATAGAGCATCGTTGGTGAGCAAAGGAGCAGGTGAAAATGAACAGAAACAACAAGTACAACAACCGCAACAACAAATGCAATACAGTGGATATACGGGCTATGCCAGTAATAATGCGCCGGGAAATGTAACGTATCAGATTTATAGTCCTCAACATCAACCTTCATCGCCTCAACAACAACAGCAGCAGCAGCAACAAATGGCTATTAATAAAAAATCACCGCATCATTTAGCGATGCAAGGAAATCCTCAACAGCAGGTATTTTTAAATAAATACAGGATAGAATTTCTAAAAGAAATATGCATAATAAAGACAAAGAAATATGTTTTTGACAAAATTATATATTTATTTTTGTAACTATATATAACTATTTATACTTGTTTTTATAAGAAAAATATTGCATATAAAATTTCTAATATATATAAATATTTTTATTACTATATTATCTATCATTTTCTAAACAAAGCAATTTTGTCTGTCATTTTATTGATATATAAATTACTAACACAGAGATCCAGCATATAGTTTTTTAATCTATCTTACATATATACTTATTTTACTTTCGGAATCTGTTATAAAAATATTTCTACTTATTAAAAAAAAAAAAAAAAAATTTGTCCCTACATGATGTTAAAAAATGATCTTAGTTAAAATTCATCAAAAAGATTATCAATTTTTTCTCCCCTAAAACTTTAGAAATTTTGTTTGCCAGACTCAATCAAAATATTCTCAGTTGGATTGTTTAAAATGGAATACTCTGTATATTAATTATTCATATACATACAATACAATATATAATAATAAAATATAGATACTCTGAAAAAGTTAAACATTTTTGTTTTTTATAGGGTTTAATGGGTAATGTAATGGTACCACCACATATGACACAACAACAACAGCATATACCACAACAGATGTCACAACAGCAATATATGCAAGTTAGTATATTTTTTATCATGATATGTATATACAGAATTAGAAACATAAAATTTTCTTTATCTGAAAAATTAAATAATTTCAAATTATTAAAGATTTTAATTCTGTAATATGCTATGTTAATCTTTGCATTGGTGTGTTTTGTATTTTTATCTTTAACTTTTATATTTGCACTTGTAAAATTCTGTATTGACAGTGTCAAATTGGAAATAATTGGAAATTTTTTCTCCTAATTTGTAAAGTACTTAGATTTTTATTGTGTTAAAAAATGTGTCGCTTACTCTATGTTGAAAACAGTGTTAATCATCTGTATAATTTGCTGAAAGCACCTGGTATAATATAGCTGTATAGTTAAACATGATAACACATTATTAAATCTTAAAACATAATCTTAATGAAATAATTGTATACTTTTAAAATTTTAGAATATTTTACAATATTTTATAATATTTATAGGTACCCCAACAACAAGTACAACAAGTACAACAACAACAGCAACAACAAATAATACATATGAGTCCATCTAGAGCGGAATTTATAAAGGAGGATTTATCGATAAAATCTGACACTTTGTCGAGTTGTTCGTCGCCAGTAAATGCTTCACAAGTGGCTATGACGGGACCATCACCTTGTATACATCAAGGATGTCCTAACCCTGCTATATCTAATAATGAATGGGAAGATGAATATTGCAGTAATGAATGTGTGGTCAGCCATTGCAGGTTTGCGTGAGCATTCAATTTATCTACTTTAGATTAATTTCTATATTTTATTTTAAAGAAAACACATACACACACATATAAAATAAGTAATAAAGATTTAATATATTTTGCTATATACACTGAAACTTCATAAGAGTAAATCACGAAAAGATAATTGTATCTCTTCTATGCACTAAGCTACTCAGCAACTTTCGCAAAGTTACGATATCATTTCCGGTGACATAGAATATAAGCCTAATTAAATCATTTGATATCAAATAGTAAATAACTAGTAAATTAGCATAGTTATTATCATCTCAAATGCATTAGTTAAGACGAGTAATTAAGCAATCGGTATAAATTAGACCATGCAAATCTCACGAGTGATCATCGTGTGAAATGATACTTTTTATGGTCCTGTTCCTAAATAATGGGAGTGAGAATAGCTTCATTAAAGTATATCAGAATCCCGTACGGTCTACTCTTGCGAGATTCCAGTGTATTGTTTTATTCTCTATTTTGTTATATATTGAGATACATTCAAAATATATACATATATTTCTGATAAATTATAAATTTATGATAAACTATAAATTATTTGTATACTTTTATCTATAATTTTAATTTTTTCTTTATGTTTGTTATATTTATATCTGTTTTATTATCTATTTCAGAGATGTATTTAATACATGGGTATCTTCAAATCAAAATCCTCAACAAAACTATTCTACAGTTAAATAAGTTTTTCAAAAGATGACAACATCAACTAAATGGCCTCACAATAGTAATGGCCCATTATTAATTTGTAAAGTAAGATATTTAAACAAAGATATAGAAATAGATATTTAACATACATGTACATATATATATACATACATATATACATATATATATGTATGTATGTATATATGTATGTATGTATAAACAGAGTGGGCTATTTAACTTTATAATATAAATTATCTCTATTGTGCATACAGTTACTGAAATAATTCAAAAAACTTTCATAATCTCAAAAAGAAAATATAATGTAACAGATTTTATCACTTGTATAACATGCATTGTTTTATATGCATATTTTTTGTGTCAACATTATTTCTATTTTTTAATAAGATTATATATTTTTTTTTATATTATAGGATACTAATATTAAAAAAAAAAAAAAATATATATATATATATATATATATATATTTTTTTTTAATATTAGTATATATATATATATATATATATATATATATATATATATAGTTATATATCCTTTTAAATTTCACAAATCAATTTTTTTTATCATTCTATATATATAAAAATATTAAAATTATTAAAAAATTAATAGTTTACGAAATATATAATAATTTATTTTTATATGTTATAAAATATATAATACTCTGTAAAATATTTGTTTTTCAATAAATTTAAGATTTCTATACAATTAATAATAAATAAAAAATATGTAATTATATTTAAGAAAAAATGTGCAATATCTTTTTTTCATTATGTAATACCTTTTTTGATTCAACTTACAAATGTCATACGGCACTTGTATAAAAATGAAATCATGAATCGATTCTGTTTATTATTTTGTGACGAATTTAACTACTTCAATAAACTTTACAAGACTTTACATATTTTATACCATGTCAAAATAAATTATGAAAATTATGAAATTTTAAATTATTTATATTTTGATAATTCTACCTTAATATTTTCACCTGTAAAATATTGAGAAAAATCAATTTATATAAGACAAAGGCATAAAAAGTGATGAAAACATGATTTAAAAAATAGAAATAATAGTAGAAATATCATAAGAAAAAAATTTGCTGAATGCATTATATTTTCTCCCTAAAACTTTCGTTAAAAATTTGTTGTAAAAATTTCCGTAACTAGATCATAACAGAAGTAATTTAAATCATAAAATTAGATACCTATCCTGTGTATATAAATATATAGATATATGTTTGTATATGTATGTAAGTATATGCATACATGTATATATATAAGTTGGTAAATGACAACTTTTTCAAGTGTCAAAGCTATTTGTGCAATGCAAATACAACACTATAAGAGGTTGATAGATCATAATATACAAATATATGGTAATAATATACAGATGTTTTGTGCCGTACATGGGTGCCAATGAGTGAATAAACAAGAAAGAAAAAAAAGAGAAGGAAAAATCAAAGGAGAGCGAAAGAGAAGTAAGGAGAAATAGAGGTAGAAAAAAATATGAGTATAATAAAAAAAATTGTTTTTTCTTAGAAAGAAAACTTGGAATGTATTAAAAAGCCTTATTCAGAAATTCATTATTCTGATCAACTCTGGTTTTCATTTGTAAGAAGTCTATTACAATTTGATTAAAATTATGAATAAGTGCATTTACACACACACACATCCATATACACTTATTAGAAAAGTCAGTGACAACCATTTTTATATCTTCAGATACTCCTTACTAACAACCAAGGCGTGCCAATTGTACAGACATATGTTTCTTTTCTAATATTGTACAGATGATGTCACAGTTTTCTATATAATTCATTGGTTAAATAAAAAGACTTGTTTTTTAAATATAATTACCTCAGCTGTGTTTCTAAATTTTTAAAAACCATAATTATGATATAATCAACAAATAACAGTATAAGCAAATGAAAGCAGCATAAAAAATTTAAATAAATTTGCATTATGTTCAATATATGTTTTGTTTATAATATGATTGTTAATATGAGGACAATGACCAAAGATGGAAATTTATATGGTATATTTTATATTATATGTCATGGCCAGTAATATTTTTGTATATTTTATTTTAACACATGAAGTTTTTTGAAAAAATAAGCATATTTAATTTTTTATTAGGCACACAATTTTAATTGTTTATAATTATTATTTATTCAACTGTTAACTGGTCAACAAGTTTATGCGACTTTCTTTCTGTTATGTTCTCTCAAAATTTCATAAACTTTTTTAATTATCCGAGGATTAACGATATTGACCAATTTTGCAATATAACTTCATTGCATATATTTTCTGAGAAAAAAGTTAGATTCTCATATATCGTGTGTATTACATATTAGATTTTCTTTCTATGACAACGTAAGAAATTTTATTTATTTTGCATAATATATTTCGATCTCTATGTTCTCCCTTCTGCAAGAAAGTTTATCATTCCGTTTTATCCAATATGGAATACAATCGACTGATAAACATGTGTAAAGCATCTATAATCATATAATAACAATCTCACAGAAATATACTATAATACTATTAAAATCCATTATACACAGTTGTAGAAATTAAGTCTCAGATAGAAAAAGTAGTCATTTTAACACATCAAGTTATATAAAAAAATAATCGTATTAAATAACATAAAAATGACTATTTTTATTACCTGAGGTATTATGCATTTTAGGCCTATACAAATGTAAAACAAAATTTTATTACACAATTTATTTTTATATTGATATTATAAAGAGCAATCTCAATAATGCAATACAGTTTTCATATGTGACATTATACAGCAAAAAATGTAATATCAGAACAGTCGAGACAACACATAAGTGCAAATTCAATACTTTTTTAAACACATTAATGTTACATCATATGAAGTCATTTCTCTTTATTTTAATAGCATGCCTACTTTGTCTGGTAAAAATGTGCTGTAGATATGATTAATTACTATTACAATGTTTTATTACAAATCGTTTATATCAAAATAAACATACAGAAAAAAAAAGTTTTAGTTTTTAGATATAAAAGTTTTTAGATGAAAAAAAAGAGTATCTTATGTGTTGTCGGGAGAGAAAGAGACAGAATCTCCTCGAAATTTTTAAATTATTTTAACAGATATGGGAATTTGGTCAGTTGCGATAAAACAAATATAATACAAAATACATACATTTATTATTCTTGAATTTAATTATCAAAATCGAATAATTACATGTTTATTTCTGATATCAAATGCATTTGTAATGTAGGCCTTGAAATAAATCAATATGAAAAATTTTTATGTATAAAGCAAAAGATATATTCTTCCATATTAAATTCAATTTCGCGATTTTTACGCGAACATATGAATGCTTATTAGATGATACATCAGTAATTTGTCCAAACAAATTGATTTAATTTCTTTTTTTTATATGAATTAATTATTTTTAATATTTTTAGTTATTGTTTAATATTCTTGTAAATATACAAATATATATTCTATAGGTTTATAAATTATAGTGTAAAAAATAATATAGATATTGTATTATATTAATAATACATTGTGTGGTATATTAGGAAAACATATGTTTCGTGTGTGTATGTACGCGCGTACGCGCATGTATGCATGCATGTATGCGTTTGTATGTATGTATGTATATGTAAACATATAGGATTAAAAAGATAATTACTTAATCAATAAGATAGAATATTAATTACTTAAACAGTCCTTTTAGATAATGGGATTGTAAAATATGTTTATTGCATTACTAGCAAATAAACGTTGAGAAATATAGAAAAATCCTCAATTGTTTATGCACAAAGCGCAGAAATTTGCATAGAAATATAAACATGGTGCTTGGAATGTTTTCGATTATTAAAAACTTTGGCATAATCTGCCATAGTTTCACAGAATTTATATTCTTTAAATTTTAAATAATTAAAGAGGAGGGCTATTTCTTTGTCACATGTATGTGTGTGTGTGTGTGTATGTGTATATATATATATATATATATATATATATATATATATATATATATATATATATATATATAGTTTCTATGTAAATTTCTATGCAATGAGCTCAACTTTTGACATAAAAGATAAAAACGCAACTTTTGCAATATTGATCATAATCATATAAATCTGTATCAGGAGTAAATTTAGAAGATATCAAGCATATATTGTAGCCCTAGACTATACACATCAAATGCTAATATATATATATATATATATATATATATATATATATATATATATATATATATCACAGTAATTTCGAATAAATTTATGTTAAATTTTTATTGTTTTATGTACAAAAATATGATTAAACATTTTCAGTCCCAATACTATGTTTATGGAAATATTTATTGTATCCTGCCATTCTTATATCTAGAAATTTTATATTTAATATTTCTTGTGCAAAATTTGTGAAAATGTCTATAACATATCGTTCAAACATAAGCTATATAAAAAGAATATGAACATTTAAGCAATTTTTAAATTAAATATTTATCTAAAATAAATCATTTATTATGTAAAGATTTATTCAAAATAATTATTAGCGTGGAAAACTTGTTATTTTTATTAAACAATCTCAGGAGTAACAAATGGACATTATTTGAAAAATGATATGCACTTGTTATCTCGAGGATGTATCTCGTAACAAAACGTAAGAAAAGATAAAGTTGCAAAAATTTCATAAATTTTATTTATATCCTTGATGTGTTTTAAATATTTTATTATATATCTTAATTTTTCATCTTTATTTTTTTAAATACTTTTACTCTCCTCTCTTATTATATATATTATACTTACTTTTTTTTATTTTTATATTTTATTCATATCCTTTTTATTTATATCCTTATTATTACCGTTACTGTGGTGTTCCTGAATCAAACACCTATCCGGAAAAACAAGCTATGCCATTGCCACTGTCGCTGGCAGTATTTTTACCGAGATTTGTTTTCAAAATTAAAATTAGAAATTTTTCTTAAGTAATTTTTATATTATATATATATAAATGGCGCGTAATTCCTTGTATGTACTTGATATTTTTAACTATTTATCTTTACATTCTTTACAATATACGTTCATCATTTTATCAAAGACACGGTTTTCGAATTCTGTGACACCCAATATAAGAAATTCTGCCCACATAGAAATGGCTGCCCTTGCATTACATACATTTTACTATATGATTTTAGTGATCTAAGAATATATACAAATTTGTAAAAATAGTACATTTGAAATTTAAAGATGTAATTCGATTTAATATACAAATTACAATATTAGTTTAGAAATTAGAATTTTATACTCTTATTCTAAATGTATAGTATATTTCTATCACAAACATATATATACATATAAAAGATCCCATTGAAATATTCTATTCTGCATTAAATTTAATATGACAAAAAGTATTTTGCATTACTGGTCATTGTACTCATCATATAAATATTTTATACTTAAAAAGATATATACACATATACATATTAGTAACTTTAAATAATTTTCATGAATTTATTGCAACAAAACAGGAACGAATACACTATTTATTTGCCATTTATAAAAGTTCTGAATCAGCTTCATAACTTCTTGTAAATTTGTAGAAAATTTTAACATACAAATTGCATTAAAAAGTATCTTGTTATTTTACTAAAGCAAGATTATTCTTATAATGCAAGAGTAACAAAGTTGGTATCAAAAACTTGATAAATGTAAAAAGAAATCTTTTCCACAGCAATTTTCTATGGATCTATATCCGAATGACGTCCACTACAATATGAAATGTTATAACGATAATACATCATCTTCGCCTTTGTAACTACGTTCAAAATGTTAAGTAGTATTATTATTGAGGCAACATCGGCACACAGTAATCAAGATATAAGTAAATGACACATTCATTGTACATCTCTGCAAACATCATTTTGTCAAAGTTCCTTTAAAAGTGCCGATTTTGCATTTTTAAGTTTATCTAATCGCCTTTGTAGATGAGAATTTGCTGTCTCCAATTCTTCTACACGGGCTTGTGTTTCTCTTACCTGAAAATAAAAATTTTAAATTGACTCATGTGTATATCTATATAATTTTCTTTGATATATGTACAGATCTTTTTATTCATAAGAAAAATCAATATTCATACTTCTCTTTGCAATTTTCTTTTTTCCACTTTTAATTCATCTTCTGCTTTTTCAGATGCTTCTGCAGCTGATTTATAACGAATTACTTGACTTTCCAATCTAGCTACTGTTGCTTGTAGCGTGGACATATCTTGTTCTGCTTTTTGTAATTTAAATTTATAATCTGCTAACAATTTATTTGCCTCACGCTGAATATCTTCGTTTTCGGACAAGCAACCTGCTACAACAAGATACACACACACACACACACACACACACACACACACACACACACACACACACATTGATATAAATAAAATAATATTATAATCCATAGAAAAATTATATAAATAATTATATATAATTTATTTAAAATAAATATATGCAAACATTAACCTAATACTGAACCAGATGATCTCTCGGATCTCATGCGATTTCTAGTTTCTTCCAGTTCCAATCTCAAATGTCGAATTTCATCTTGCAATTCCTTTTTTTCAAAAGCAAACTTTCTTAATCGGACATCTAAAATTATAAACAAAATTATAGATATGAATATTAAAAATGTAAATGTAAATTAAAATTTGTAAAAATTGATATTATATTATATTGAATAATTAAATACAAAAGCACTAATATATTAATAAATATTCAGTACTTTTTTATTTCTTCTATTCAAATACTATGTTCTGTCAGGATAAAAATCTACATGAAAAAAAATTTGTCTCCTTGGAAAATAAATTTTGATCTTTAATTAAGTCCTCTCTAGTCAATGGATAATCAATAATCAATTTAAATTATCTTTAGCAATTTTGTGTAATGATTTTTCAAGAATAAAAATGATTTTATAAATTTTATTTTCTATTAATGATTATTTAAATTTTGCAATGACAAAAATGTAGCGATTTTAAAACTTGAATGAATTGTATGTATTGTAGATACAAAAACACAATTTCTAATTTAAAAAAAAAATGTATTTTAGTTACGATTTTAATATAATAAAAAATTGAAATTTTTATCTTCAATTTATCTTTTTTTAAAAATAATTCTAATGCATTAATGAGATTTTTCGATTAAAATGATATCAAATATAATTCGCATATATTTCATAATCAGATATAATTTGGATAATTTTCAGTTCTATAAAATATAATTTGGATAATTTTAAGTTTTAAGTAAAAATTTTTATCTTTTAAATAAAGGTTGAAAATTAATTCTATCACAAGGACAGAAGATTACTAAGAGAAATGTATGTGTGTGTGTGTATAAATATATTTTCTAGCATATAAATTAATATTTCGAAGTGATGGTATAAATTAATATTTCATTTGGCTATTTTTTATCTGATCTAATCTGAGAAAGCTAGTTGAGAAAATTACTATATTATACTTAGTATTTACATATTATTTAATAATGTCATTTAACAATTTATATTAAATAATGCATGATTTGACATACCCAGAGAACCTTTACCAGCAGTTTCCAATAATTCTGCAGCTTCTGTACTGACTAGTACCCTCTTTTTACAATATGACCTATTTTCAATATTTTCATTATCTTCATCTTCGCTTCCTTCATTGTCAATGATAATTAAGCCATTCTCCTAAATTATAGTTTATATAACATTTGACGTGTGTGATGAGATAAAAATATTATATACATACAAAAAGTTTTTTCATAAACAATGTTATATGTGTTATTACAATAATATTTAATAATATACTTACTTGTATAAGTGTATCTCTTTCTAATAATTGTGCCTTGCAAATACCTAAATCTTCTTTTAATTTCTGATTAACTCGTTTTGATTGTTCGAAATCTCGATTCTTTTCCCTCAGTTCTCTACGTACTTGTACAATTGTTTCCTCTAATTCTTCTAATTTATCTTTTAATAAATCAACTTGATAGACATAAGATGATTTTTCGTTGTCTAATTGAGCATTAGCTATCATTGCCTTTCTGAATTTTTCTTCAAATTCTTTTAATTCCAGCTATATAAAAAATTATATTATTATTATTATTATTAATAATATTATTAATAATATTATAATTAATACTATTAAGATTTATATAATAGGGCTTATTAGCATACCCTAATATCTCTACTTAATCCTGCATCTTCTAATGAATCTTCTGAAGATCTGCGACTTGATTGGAAATTGTTGGAATTTGTAAGAAGCCGTGATGTACGTACTGGATCTGGAGTTACTCTCATACTTCTATTCACATCAACTACAATTAGATATATGTTAATAAATATCTAAATAAGATAAAGGTATTATATAAAAAATATGTAAATATGTGTGTATATATGTATGGATGTGTAAAGATAGTAACTCTATAAATAATTTATTATTATAAAGTTATAAAAAATTGGAAATATGACACTAATGTAAAATTTATTTTTTAAACTACCTGTACACATATCATAAACCCTATCGGCATTTTCCTCTGCCTCTTTTTGTTGTCTCTCTAATTCACGCATTCGTATTTCTCTGGCTTCCGCTCTTGCCTGTCTCCTAGCAGCAAGTCTTGCTTCTGCCTGAAAGTATGTATGGAAAATCCAGCCTGTTACCAAAAATATACGTTTACATTTGATTTATTATTAACATCATATTATCATCACCACATTATAAAGCTCCTTAATTCAGTTAGAGTACAAATACAACAAAATGGTTATGAGTTTTTTGTATTAAGATGATTAGTTATTTATCTTTATTGGGGGGAAAATATAAACCCATGCATAATTTTTATAAATCAAACCTAATGTTTGGCATATTGTATAATTTGTATCAAATCTATTAAAAAAATATCAATTTCTTTAATTTAATGTAATATATAAATAGTAATTTTATATATTACATTAATAATAATATATAAATATTAATTTTTATATAAATAGTGATTTATCCAAAAGAATATGCAAATTAATAAAAAGAGCAGAACTAGCATATAATATTATTTAAAACAAATGTCAAAAAAATTTATTTGCAAATACTTGATAGTGTTATAAAATATTTCTATAATAATTTGCTTAATCAATTTATTTATCTATGTACTCAATATACATATGTATGTATATATTTCTATACTCAATATAAGCCTCTTTTAACAATATTGTTTTCTCAAAAAAGTATATAAATATAATTAATATTATATTTAAAGATATAGAAATATAAGGAACATCTGCTGCTAATAAATAAATAAAAATAAAAAATAAAAAAAAAAAAAAATATATATATATATATATATATGCACTTACACACAATTATTATTTTAAGCTAATAGTAAGTAGGATATGCTTAACTCTGCTGTTAATACATTAATATTTTGCAAATTATTAAAATATGAAAAACATGACATATTGAAGAATTTTATTATTTCTATTATTTATATGTTTTTTGTATACTTATTTCATTATTTCTAATATAAATTAATACAGAAAAAGTATTGCAGATAAAGAACGGCAAGAATTCAAAATTTTTATTTTTATGATGCATGGATATATATATGTGTGTGTTTGTGTTATAATGTGTATGTTTTATATATAGGTATGTACAAAACAAAAAGATAACTAAATTAACTGTATTACTTTTAATACTTGAATTATTTAGACTAATACCTTATTATACCTTAATACAATCTTGCATATTCATGCATATTACATTTTACAAAGTTATATATATTTTTATCAAAGTCATACCTCTTTAGCTATTTGATCAAGTGCTTGATCTTCCGCAGAATGCCGTGTGGCAGTCCTCCTTCGCCCAGTTATAGCCGATTCCATTTTGAGTTTCCTTCCTTACAACTTGTGTTTCAATTGTAATGATTCTAGTTAGGTGAATCGATGTGCAACAACACACTAATAAATAAATAATAAGCTGAACAATTTTATAAATGAGCTAATTATCAATGTCATTACAAGTTAACTTTACATGTAAAATTTAATAATTTCTTTCAATATAATATTTTTCATTATAACCATTTGCTTTTTATTTTCAAGTATTTAGAATATATAATTTCAATTTGCACATCTTTATATTTTATTCAATATTTTACAAGCTCTTTTTAATAAATTCTTGATAACAAATTGATAATTGAAAAAAAATTTATATATCTTATTCTTCAAAGGCCATTAGATAAATCTATTTTTTCATATGTGTGATGAGTGCTGTGTGTGTGTGTGTGTGATGAGTGCTGTGTGTGTGTGTGTGTGTGTGTGTGTGTGTGTGTCCCTGCATATGTGAACAGAATGAATGTATAATGCATAAAGCATGAAAAATCAATTGTAGCAATAATTTTTCACGTAAAATATATAAAAAGAAAACCCATAAAAATTATTACGGCACTTTTTATTCCACTAGGCGGAATTTTGCTACATTCCATTTTGGATTTTTTTTAATTTCTCGGTCACACCTTGCATTTCAATGCGTAACACACGATGATAATGATGATGATGATGATGATTAACGCTTAAGACCACAAAATTAAAGCGAAAGAAGGTATAATCGAATACGCTTAAAATAAAAAGCAAAAATTTAATATTTTACGACACATTATTACTCGGCACACTACACACGCACACGTAATACACATACACACGCACACACATATATACCCACCATAATTATAATATACGTATAATCTTACAATATATAGCTATATTTCATCGCTTTGTTGTTCACCCATCATAGACGTGCACTTACGATTAGGACATGTCAGAGCCAGTGGATGTGTATTTTTCGGGGCCGAATGACATGCAGAAAATAAACCGGGTGCGCTCTATAAATATAACGGATGGAAATCGGATAACTCGGTCGCGATAACCATCTGTATGTCGTGGAACTTTATCGGCGGAACTCGGCGAGTCTGCTCGCTTCGTTAGACGATATCACGTATAATCGCCGCGAGATGAGGCGAGCATGATGCGAGACACGCAAAAGCATTACACTCACTCCTCGTCTCTCGCCGCGCCTACATCTGTCTAAAAGTTATATATAAGAAGGTTAAGACATCATCTCCTCTCCTCCCTACCGTTACCCATGATGCTGTGCGGAGGCCACGAACCTCGCATGTCATACTAGACCCGCGAACTTTGAGGATAAAAGTGAAGCAAGGGCGGCCATTTTCAATTTGGGCAGAATAAATAGAGCGAAACAAAGGCTAGATATTATCTACAGGATTATTTGGAATAAAATATTGGTAAATATGCATAATAGATTACATCTCATCGATTTTTATGTCACTTAAATATGTCAAATTTTTTAAAATTCTCTTGTATTCGAAAGCAACATATATTTCAAATGTCTTACCCTGTATAATGTCATCTCGTTTAATATCCTTGTCCTGTGCAGCGTATATGTAACAAGTTAGAAAGAGAGATAAAATTGCGAAGGCAAGAATAAATGAGACAGAAGACATCTATGATTGGTTACCTATCAGCTGTGCACATGACAGTTGACAGTTGACAGTTCTTCCTCGACACGCGCGACATCAAAAATATCGACAGGGAGTCACCTTACTATATATACCGTGTCCATGGTTCTTGCCGAGGACGAAGGATACTTTTAGGAACGCGCCCCAAGCGTATTGTGCCATATCTGCGTTTATGAACACGTAACAATAGAGCAAAAACATGGCTGGACATCATTCTGCTGTCGTTGAGTAAAATTTTGTGTACAGTAAAAGGACAATTCGACGTTCGTGTGGCGTATGTATGAATTGAGAGTCAATTATGACTTCGATTCACTTCGTCGTTCATCCTTTACCAGGAACGGACGACCAACTTATTGACAGGTGAGAGAAATGTTCCGTATCCGTTATCGGTTTTCCATTAGCGTAGCCTTTACTCTATGCACATACGTATGCTTTCGGTGTGCATTCCTTGCGATCTTTCGAGAAAGATCCTTTTACATTGCAATATGTCACGATAGGCGCCTTCACAACTATTCGTTTTTCATTTTGCATATCTACGTGTGTGTACCTGTACGAACATGTACATTATATATTCTTATCATATTAATATATGTTAATATGATGATTATGATGATTATTATGATTATTATGTATTGATATCATATTAATATAATCAAATCACATTAATTACTAAATAATATCATACTTTCATGGCATTCTATAAATATAACTTTAATATAATATTGTTTAATATAATTGTTTCAATATATGCATTAAATTTTTTTAACGGAGCTAAGTTGCAATATAATTTTTAAAGAATATAAATTAATTATTTAATATACCTTAAATTATACCTATATAATTTAACAGCCTATACAATAAATGAATAAAGTAGTAACATTTTATTTTAATATGAACATTTAATAGTACTTATAAAATATATTATTTTATCATAAATGAAAGAAAGGCTAGTGTACCTTAAAATATATTAAAAAAATTTTTATTTTAATATTAATTATACAAATTAAAATTATCTAATTTAATCTAGAAAGTAATCTAGTTTTAAAAAATTATCATTTTTTTTATACCTCTATATATTTTATACTTCTATTGTTTTAGGCTGAAAGAAGTAGCAGATAAAATCAATAGATATGGATTTGTAACACCATCGGCTTTCAATGGCTTAAAAGTACCAATAAAGCGTGTTGTAGTAGGACCAACGCATATCGCTCTTCTTACAGAAGATAATAGAATATGTCGAGTTGCATTTACAGTGTTATCTGATAGATTGGACTTGAGTAAAAGTGAACCTAATAGAAAGTAAGTAAAGAAAGAAAAATATATGTAATATATATAATATATATAATATATATAATATGTATAATATAATATGTATAATATGTAATATATAATAATATAATATATAATATAATATATAATATAATATATAATAATATATATAATATAATATATAATAATATATATAATTTAAACATGAAAGTAGAATATAATTTTAAAAATTACATATATTACATATATACAGGATATTTTTGGACAATCAGGACAAACAAAAGAGTGATAGATTTTCTTAAATTGAATAAGATAATTTATTAAGATCTATCATCTTTTAAATTTGTCGGAACTGTTGGAAAAAATATCTTGTACACACACACACACACACACACACACACACATATATATATATATTTATATGTGTATATATGTGTTTTTATTGTAGTACGAGTAAAAATCATGTTGGGAATTCTAATTCTACACCAAATGGAAATGGAAATAGTAGCAGTAGTAGTAGAACAGGAATATCACGTTCACGTGCACGGATAATGCGTAACAGCTCTGCGATTCGCGGAGGTAGCAGCGTCGGAGGAAGCGGTGCTGGTGGTCGTATAGGACCACCAGGAGTGATTATGGGAGGAGGAAGCAGTAGCAGTTCACGCCCTATCCCGTCTGTGCCAGCACCATTTGTACCAGAAGATCTGATATCTCAGGCGCAAGTAGTACTGCAAGGAAAAAGTCGTAATCTGATTATCAGAGAATTACAGGTTTATAAGTATTATTATTAAAAACAAAAAAACGATCACAAAAGAGATAAGTTTTAAATAAAATAATTATTATATATTGTAGCGTACAAATTTAGATGTTAACTTAGCGGTAAACAATCTTCTGTCACGAGAGGATGAAGAAGGCGATGATGCGGAAGATGCAGCAGACAGTTATGTTCCCGAAGATCTTATATCACTATTAGATAGCGGTTTTAGCAATGAGCATTCAGTTATAATTGATGCTGATTCCATGTTTTCTGAAGACATGTTTGGATACACAGGAATAAGACAGTAATTAATTTTTTATCTTAATAAGCACATATAGAGTATCACATAATATAACTGATAGTATAACTGGAAAAATAATGATTTTACATGAAAATATGGAATTAAATTTTTTAATATAAAACTTTTTCATATAAAATTTGTGAAAGGAAATTAATTTTAAATTTATACATATACATACATACATACATATATACATACATACATACGTGTACACACACACACACACACACACACACATATATATTTTTACATATATTTTAATAATTGTCGAGATAAATTCATTAATGTATAATATAAGATTGCCAGAGATTATTCAAGTTTAAAAAAGTATAAAACATCCATTTTGAAAATCAATTTTGTCAAAAACAAAAGCTTATAAAAAAGAAATTTATTACACTTTTGATTTATTTTTCCACAGAGAATCATTTTGTATTATTGATTATAGGATGCATTTTGCATGCATTTTAAGGAAATATTATATTTTCAGTCGTGGAAGCTCTTCACGCCGCTTAGGGAACGACAGAGAAGGCGAACGTTCATCTCATGAAAGAGACAGAGATCGTGATAGTTTTAGCAGATGGCGAGAACGTCAATATTATGGTCCGCGTCGTTGGTTGGAAACTGCTCTTAAAGATTCATGGGAAAAGGATTCAGGTATTTTATGAAAAATTAATTGTTTAAATTTTTATATGAAATATCTGAAGTCTATATATATTTGTATGTGTACAATTTGTTGAATAAGGCTGCAATTTATATATATTGATATTTTAGATAATAAGAAAAAGGAATTGGCTTCGCAAAGCCCGCTATGGATATCTGAAGAATTAGAATGGTGGCATGATCGTAGTAGCGATCCAGTACCCCGTTTTGTACAAATTGCATCGCTTTATAGTGAACTAATTGCAGTTTCTGCATCAGGACAATTATATCAATGGAAATGGACAGAATCAGAACCGTATAAAAATGCAGATGTACTTATATGTTTTAATAATGCAATTATATTTTTTTTCACATATCTCTACAAAATATGTATTATTGATTTTTAGAATCCAAGTGTGCACCATCCAAAAACTATTCCATTGGCATTGACAACAGAGAAAATAATCAATATATCTGCTACAGCAATTCGATGCTCTGTTAGTACAGAGAATGGAAAAGTAGCGACTTGGCTTGATGAACTTTTAGGACATGTTGCTTCTCGCCTTGAGCATCCTGCACAAGCTTTCACTGAATTTACATTAGATAAAATTGTATCGCTTTATACATGTGCTTTGTATACTGTTGCAAGACTTGAAAGTGGAACATTGTATTGGTGGTGAGTTTGATTTTTTATTTTTAGTTATGATTATGAGATTTTCATGTGTCTCTCTTTCAGGGGTGTTTTACCATTTGCCCAACGTAAGAAATTGTGGGAAAAATACAAAGCAAAATCGCGCAAACATAGACCATCCACTGTTTTATCAAGCGACATTAGTTATGGAACGCATGTATGCATGAAAAATAGTCCAGTTTATCAACCAGGAGCTATTGGTTAATATTTTTCTCGTATTACAAATGATTCAGATATAGTATTATATATATATATATATATATATATATATATATATATATAACAATTATTATATATATCAATTTTAAACAATATATAATATATTTTTCAGGATTTACAATAGCTAATGGTGTACCAAAAGTAGGACAGTTGCTATCAGCAGCATGGAATGTAGATGCTACTTGTAGATTTAAAATATTACCTGCTGGTACACATGTATCTAATACAAACACTGATAAACGCGAATCTAATGGAAATGGAAGCACAACCGTTGTAAACAAACCAAATCATAAGGAAACTGCTGATAGGCTTGATATGCCTCCTCCACCATCACCAGCTTCAAGTACTTGTAGTGATACTGGCAGCATTACAACAAGTCACAGTAAGATACAATTAAAAATTATTTGTTTAATTGTAAGAAATGTTTTTAAATATTGTAACACTTTAAAGGGGAGACCTCTGTTTATATTATCTGGCCATTTATCAAGAATATTGTGTTGATACGCGAGAAGATGGGGGATTTTATATCTAGAGGGGTCTACTAATGTGTTTAATATATCTAGAAAATGTATTTAATATATCTAATAATAAAATATTTTATAAAACTATTGTAATTTTTAGAACGGCAAAAGCGTATAACACCTCGAAGTGAAGGAGAATTCGAGAGAAAGGACGAAGAGGATTGGCAATTGAAAGATGTTGTTTTTGTCGAAGATGTCAAAACTGTACCTATTGGT